GCCGGCCCTTACTTCCTGGGGCGGCCATGCAGGCTTCTCTGCACCTTGACATGCAGGCTCATGTCTAGCCCTGGTCTCTGTGCTTGTGGCTCTCTCTGTCTGGGCTACCCCAAGAGACACCTCCGTGGGTGCTATGGGTGCTGTCTCGCCCTATGGGCTCAGAGCACCCCCTCCCCCACACAGCCCTGGACGTGCAGCATGATGTGGCCCTCAACACCTCTGTGGGTGCCGCCTCACCCTATGGGGCTCAGAGAGCCCCCCTCCTCCACGATGTGTCCTCCTTGATTGCTTACAGACTGGTGCAGGGGTAGTCATGGTGTCTATTACCCATTGCTGCAAAACAAACTGCAGAACACAGTGGCTGGAAAGGGCACATTTATTGTTTCATGGTTTGCCTGGGTCAGGACTTGGATGTGGCTTGGCTAGTCCACTGGCTCAGTCTTAGGAGGCTGGGCCTGAGGTCATCTGAAGGTTTGACTGGGGTTGGGGGATCTGCTTCCAGGAAGGCTCACTCCTGGGCTGCCGGTGGGCAGGTCCTCACTGGCTGTTGGCAGAAACTGTAGCCCCTGACTGTGGGGGCCACTCCGTAGTGTTTCTCCCAATGTGGGAGCTGGCCACCCTCAGAGCGAGGACTCTGAGCATGAAGGAACAAGCAAAGGAAAGCCCCGGTCTTCTTAACCTGAGTTAGACCTGACATGCCATCACTTTTGGGAACAACATTCGTGTTTCCTGTTGTTGAGAATGTGCACAGCGGCTTCTGCGCCAGGTCAACGGTTTCTGTATGTACACTTCTCCCCCTTCTTTTCTGAGTTGTTTCTCCCCATTAACACGAACTCACTGTCCCTTAAGCTTCCTGTGTAATCTTTCAAGTTACTGTTGTCAGTTGGACTCTGTAGAGATAGTTCTTCAAAGAGCACAGTGCTCAAGGCCGACTTTGTTTACTCACTAAGCTAAACTACTGTTTGGTTTTCAGAAGACTCCAGGGGACATTTTGGCTTAGGGTTTAAAGATGATCTCACGGCAATAATTTTAGCAGTTCAACCAAGCTCTATAACTCCAGAGAATCTGGAGTCCCTGAGAATTTGAAATTCTGTTCCACATTCCTCTCCCCCTTTTGATCATGATTCTTCTATGGAATCTGATCAAAACATTCAGTAATGGTAGCCAGGCACCAGTTTTTCGGGTCTTGTAGCAAAGGAGGCAGTTAGCGACGCATTCCATTACTGACTTTTCTTCCTCCTCTGTTACTCCCGAGGAACAGAGACCAATTGTTGTCTGTTGGATGGCCTCTTGCAAGCTTTTACAGCCCCAGGCGTTACACAGTGAGCTAGGAGGTAAACCAGAAGCACTAAACACAATGTTAGGCCAGTTAACTGGGGACCTCCCATCACTTTTGCTGTGTTTTTGTGGTTAGAAGTGACTTAGCTGGAAGTCAGTGCAGGGCTGGTCCACACACAAGGACTATGCAAAGGATTGAGTGCCGAGAAGTAGTGACCACCAGTGGCCACCTTAGAGCCTGCTTACCAGACACACAAACCAATCCCAAGGGGGAGGAGAGGCTCTTCTGTCAGGGAAGGCTTCACAGAGGAGGTCTTGGGTCTTAAGTAGGTCTTGCAGGATGAACAGGAGTTTGCCAGGCAGCCATTATTAGCTTTGTGTCATAGTTGCTATTCTTTTCAGCTCAATTATTGGAGGATCTTGAGCTACGGGTTTTGCCCTCAGGTCAGCTGAACAGTGAGACATTGAAAGGCGTGTGGAGCTAGCTCAGGCCAAATGATACCTTTCCAGTGCTTCTGCTTCGGGTGGGCTGGGGACCGTGGAGTGTTCGCCTGTTCTCTGCCTTCTGGCGGTGATACAGTGTTCTTTCTCAGGGGGCCTTCTTGCCTGATAGTACTTTGCATAGAATTCATTCGCAGCCCCCGAGCAGTGGGGCTAATTTGCATTTCTGGGCGGGGCGGAGGGGGCAGGGAGCTCCAGGCCCGACGCTGGCTCTTCAGGACAGCAGTCTGCAGGCAGGCTGGGGCTCTGTGGGCCACTGGGGGGTCCGAGAGCCGGTGCTGGGGGTGCAGGCAGGGGGGTGCTCTGAGCTCCGGCACACAGACTGGTGATGGGGAGTCTGCGAGCAGTCTGCAGGCTGGCGCTGGGGCTGCATGGGGTGGGAGGTTCTGCGGTCACGCACTGGGGGCTCCGTAGACCGGGATGGGGGGTCTGTGGGCAGACTGCGAGCCGTCTCTGGGAACAGTGCCCAGGGTCTCCTAGGCGTCCTCTCCTACTTCTTCAGCCTCTGCCTGACTGAGCCCCTCGCTCTCTCTCTGTAGGAATCTATGGGGTTGGCAAAGCAGCCCTGCACCCGCCTGCTCTGGCTGTCCTCAGCCATACCCCAGAGGGGGCCACCCAGACCATCGCATGGGTCGGCAAAGGCATCGTCTATGACACCGGGGGCCTCAGCATCAAAGGGAAGGTGAGCGGCCAGGCTGGCATCACGGTGGGTCCTGGGGGCAGCTGGAGGGGGCCCAGCTCTGCAGGGGGCCCCGGGAAGGCAGTGAGGTTTCCGGGAGTGTTGAGTTGGGGCATGCCTCTGGGAAGCCCATTCAGGAAAAGAATGAACAAGCCGGTTCTCGCCCAAGAAGTGGACACTTTGGCAATGGACACCTGGATTTCCTGCCTGTGCTTCTAACAGGGATCTGGAAACAAAAACCTGGACGGGATCTGGAGGGAGGCCACAGACACGATTCAAGGATGGCAAACAGGTCCAGGAAGGCAAGGTTCACAGAACCAGGGGTAGTTTTGTCCAAAAAGGTGATGGTGACACTCACGTCCCCACGGCTGTCAAGGCATCCACAGAGAAGACAGCCAGCAGTTGTGGACAAGACTGCATGGGAGCAGACACCTCAGTGAGAGTGGGGGCTCCAGGACGAGGTGCAGAAACGGGACCTGGGAGTGGTGCGGTGATGCTGTCCTCGAGGGCTCTCCTGGGGCAGCCTCGAGCCCACCAGCTTAGAGATGGCTCTGTGGAGCGTCTGTCATGGCTGTGTCTGGCCACTAGAGCAGTCTGCTCACTTCCACACTTCACATTCTGAGGCCAGTGTGTCCCTAGAGCTGTGTGGCACTGGGGAGTGGGAGCGATGACCTTCAGGCCCAGAGCCAGGGTGGGGGCCCCAGGTACCCAGCGCATCTTCATGGGTTCACTCCACACACTGCTGGCAAGCAGCTGCTGGGCACGTGGCCCTGGGCCAGGCTTGGAGGGAAGACCATGGAGGAGGCTGAGTGTGAGGTGGATGCCCAAGGGAACTGGAAGGAGGGATTCCCTGGCCAGGGAGAAGACCTCGGAAAGGAGGGGAGCAGCACATCGTCGAGAGTGGATGTTGAGAACTCGCAGCCTGTGTGACTTCCAGATATGTCCTTGCAGCCCAAACGGTGACTTTAAAATGTGAATTAGTTACTGGCATTGGAGAGTGCAGGAAGGACCCGCATCAGAGACTGGCCTTCTGTAAGCTCGGGGGATCTGGTCACACGGGTTCTGTGCTCCCACCTGGCCGTGTCCATCTGGAGCTGAGTCATGGCTGTCCCTGGGGACTTGCCTGCGTTCTCCACTCTGCTGCAGGCCACAGCACTCCCTGCTGCCTCTCTGCCATTGAGCCGGAGTACCAGCCGCTATCTAGGGTGGGGATTGTGTGGCGTTTTCTGCGCTTCCAGCATATCTGGTATGTTTGATACCTGAAATAGACGTTCATTTTTAACATGTCTCCTCTGCTAAATAACAAAATTATTTTCAGAATGAATCAGGAAAAGAAATCAGATAGTGAATATTCTCTTTTATAAAATTGCATATGTACCACACCAGGAAAAAATTAAAAAGCAAAGACGTATTACAGCATGATGGAAAACGTGTGGATTAAGATTCCTGAAGTGCGTTAGGGTAAAGTTGAAAAGCGCAAAAAGCTTCTGCCCCCACGTCAGTCTGTTGCAGTGCTTGACGGGAAGGTTACGGCTTCTGTTTTCGAATCTTCTGCAAAGTTGTGATCCTCAAGATCAATCTTCTTCATGTGTATATTTAAAAGACAGCTAGAAGAGCCAGATCCCCCAGTCTGTCCTCACTATAGTCAATCTGAGGACACTGTTAATGAATAGGGCAAAATTTAAAAAATGGAAATTAAAAAAAAAATCTGACTCCTAGCAACCCTGTAGGACTAAGTAGACCTGCCTCAAAGGGTTTCCGAAGCAGACCCCACATCTTTCTCCTGCTGGGCAGCTAGTGGGTTCAAACCACTGAATTTTTGTTAGTAGCTGAGTGCTTAACCAGTGTACCACCACGCTTCCTTAGGGTAAAATTAATTCATTTCAATCTCATAGTGTTAACTGTCACAGCAACAGATGCACAGTTAGGAAAAGTCTTTAAAAAAGAATCATTTGGCAGAGATTCATAAAAATCCCATTTCACAGTAAATTCCAGAAATTGCAATACTCTCCATGTTTTCAGTTCTTTGGGATTAATTCCAGAGCTTCAAATGTTTGTGGAATAATAATAATAATAAAAGCACAACAGCTCCAAGTTGTCATAGCGGATGACAGGATTGAAGGCCTCCAGTGCTGTGTCTTTGTTGTATGATCACCATGCTCTCATCGTTTCTTCTGAGTCTGCTGTGGAAGCTCAAGGACTGTGGTTTCACAGGCTTTAGAGATGCCAACCACACTGCAAGTGAGCCCGGAGCATTCTGATAAGTCTCAGATAAGTGTAATCTGTGTAGTACATTAACATAAATAATACAGTTTTATGAAAAATAACTATATTATCCAGAACAAAAGTTTAGAGAGAAGAGTATCATTGTTTTACACGTTTGCAAATCTCTTTAGTTTCTGGCTTAATAGAAGACAGCTGGGTTCTTACTTTTTCTGCTTCTACATTCAGTCTGCTGCAATATGTTGTTTTAGTTAAACTATATCAAGGAAATCTAGCCTCATACATATATGCAGTTGGAAAAGGGAAAGAATTTTAGTAGATTTTTTTCAGAAAACTGTGAAAGTTATTCTTTTATATTACACCAAAACTCAACAAGTGGTAGTTTCTTAAAGGTTGGTTGCAATGTGGAATCTGAAACAATGTCAGTGAACTTTTGTACTGTGTTACATTAAAATCCGTCTGTATTGAACTTTGTGTGATTTCATAATATTCTGTATGGGTCATGTGGAAAATCTTGGTTCTTAGAGTTATGCAGAGTTTCTGTGTTGACGCATTACATTATCCGATACCAGAAAATTGCATCCATTAGTATCACCATTTGTCTCGTCAGAAAAGTCATTGAGGATTAGGAAGCTGTTATGGTGGTGGATACAGCTTTTCCAAATCTAATTTTTTGCTTGAAAGTGCAAATTTTATCATAAGCAACAAATAAGGCCAGCTGTTTTCCTGGGAGTGACTAGTTCATTTTGTTCATATTTGAGAAAATGTTGACCAAATATCTACATATAAATAACCAGCACCATCTGCCAGTTGTTCTTTCAGACAAAAATGGGGCTCCGTGAAGACAGTAGCTAGTTTAGTTCATAACTCAAGCACCGGAGCCAGTGCTTCTGTTAAGCCAGCCATCGTACTTGAGTAGAAAGCAGGAGTGCTGTGTGAGTACTCTGAATATTGAGGTAGCCTTATGCTCACATGTTGAGATTTTAAAAATTAACAATTTTACTGCTTCAACAAGGAAATTCTTAAGAGAAGTTGGCTTTGTTTTATTTCACTGGAGTGCACTATGCATACAGTGACTAGTTCACTTGGTGTCACTGCCTTGATCCACCCTAGGGCTCCAGCAGTGTCACCTGCCATCACTTTTGCATCATTGGTGCAAGTGTCAGCCCATTGAGAAGGCAAACAACACTTTAGGAGAGTCCTAGTGGAGCAGTGGTTAAAGCACTTAGCTGCTAACTGAAAGGTCAGTGGCTCCATAGGAGAAGGACCTGCCAGTCTGTTTCCATAAAGGTTGTTGCTAGGAGTCATTGAATCACTTCCAGCTCATAGTGACCCTGTGTGCAACAGAGCGGAACACTTGCCAGGCCCTGTGCCGTCTTCCCAGCCATTACTGTGTTGAGCCCATGTTGTAGCCAGTGTCAGTTCACCTCTTTGAAAGCTGTCTTCTTTCTTGCTCACCCTCTACCTTCCCAAGCATGGTGTCCTTCTCCAGGTACTGGTCCCTCCTGATCACATGTCTAAAGTGTGTGAGATGAAGTCTCACCATCCTCCCGTCTAAGGAGCATTCTGGCTGTGCTTCCTCCAAGACAGATGTGTTCATTCTTCTCAGTCCATGGTATATTTAATATTCTTTGCCAACAGCTAATTCAAAGGCATCAATTCTTCTTCAGTCTTCTTTATTCATTGTCCAACTTACACATGCATACAAGTCTACTGAAAGTGCCATGGGTTGGGTCAAGAACACCTTAGTCTTCAAAGTGATATCTTTGCTTTATGACACTTTAAAGAGGTCTTTTGCAGCAGGTGGTCTGCCCAGTGCAATACGTGGTTTGGTTTCTTGACTGCTGCTTCTATGGGCGTTGATTGTGGATCCAAGTAAAATGACATCATTGACAATTTCAATAGTTTCTGTGTTTATCATGCTACTGCTTATTGGTCCCATTATGAGGATTTTTGTTTTCTTTATGTTGAGGTGTAATCCATACTGAAGGCCGTATGTAGTCTTTGATCTTCATCAGTGAGTGCTTCAAGTCCACCACTCATCTGTCAGTGTGTTGTGCAGTGGGGACTGACTTGGGTGTTGCAGTAATGATGGAAGCTACGCCTCCAGTATTTCAGGTGCCAGCAGGTCACCCATGGGCCGATTCCAACAGAGCTTCCAGATTAAGACAGACTAGGAAGGAGGACCTGGCAATCTATTTCTGAAAAAACTTGGCCACTGAAAACTTTATGAATAACAGTGACACACTGTCTGGTACGGTACTGGAAGGTGAGCCCCTCAGGTAGGATGGCACTCAGAATATGAGTGGGGAGCAGTTGCCCCCTCAAAGTAGAGTTGACCTTAATGATGTGGATGGAATAAAGCTCTTGGCGCCTTTATTTACTGATGTGGCACAACTCAAAACAAGGAAGAAACAGGTGCAAACATCCATTAGTAATCAGAATGTAGAATATATGAAGTATGAATCTAGGAAAATTGGAAGTCCTCAAAACTGAAATGGAACACATAAAGATCAATATCCTAGGCATTAGTGAGCAAAAATTGACTGGTGTTGGCTGTAAACATTATAGCCTAGAAAGCCCTGTGGTTTTCAACTCTGTCCTGTAGGGTCACTATGAGTCAGAATCGACTTGATGGCACAGGACAACATCATTGTGGACCACCACCTGTCTGTGATCCCACAGAATGTAGAAATTATTGGACAATATCATTAATATCAAGGAACTCTGGTGGCGTAGTGCCTAAGGCATTTGACTGCTAACCAGAGGGTTGGAGGTTCAAACCCACCAGTCACCGTGTGGAAAGGAGACTGGGCAATCTACTTCTGTAAAGATTTACCACCTTGGAAACCCAGTGGGGGTTGCTGTGACTTGGAACCGACTTGATGGTAGTGTGGGTTTTGGTTTTTTTTTCAATCATTAATATCACACACAAGTAAAATCTTGCTAAAGATCATTAAAAAATGGTTGCAGCAGTATGTTGACAGAGAACTTCCAGAAATGCAAGCTGGATTCAGAAGAGGACGTGGAATGAGGGATATCATTACTGATGTTAGATGGATCTTGGCTGAATGCAAAGAATACCAGAAAAATGTTTACTTGTGTTTTATTGACTATGCCAAAGCATTCAGTTGTGTGGAGTATAACAAATTATTGATAACCTTGAGAAGATTGGGAATTCCAGAACACTTGATTGTGCTCATCAGCAACCTGTACATAGACCAGGAGGCTGTCATTCAAACAGAACAAGGGACACTGCATTGTTTAAAATCAGGAAGGGAGTGCCTCAGGGTTATATCCTTTCACCATACTTACTCCATTTGTATGCTGAACAAATAATCCAAGAAGCTGGACTGTATGAAGAAGAATGTGGCATCAGGTTTGGAGGAAGATTCATTAACAACCTGTGATACACAGATGACACACTTTGCTAGCTGAAAGTAAGGATGACTTGAAGCACTTACTGATGAAGATTAAAGACTTCAGTCTGCAGTATGGATTACATCACAACATAAAGAAAATGAAAATCCTCACAATTGGACCAATAATCATGAAATGGAGAAAAGAGTGAAGTTGTTAAAGATTTCATATTACTTGGTTCCACAATCAGCACCAGTGGAAGCATCAGTTAAGACATCAGATGACATATTGCACTGGGCAAATTTGCTGCAAAAGTCCTCTTTAAAGTGCTGAAGAGCAAATACGTCTCCTTGAAGATTAAGGTCCGCCTAACCCAAGTCATGGTATTTTCAGTCACCTCATATGCATTTGAGAGCTGGACAATGAACAAGGAAGACCGAAGAAGAGTTGATGCTTTTGTGTGGTGGTGTTGGCGAAGAA